GATTATGTCCTTCCACACCTTCTAAAGATACTGATGTTACTGAGTCTAATTTGATTTTCAGTTCACTCTACATTTGGCATGGAGCAAATTATTCTTTTATTGAAGGTTCTGCTAGCCTTAGATATTTTATTGTATATATTGTGCCCACAAGTTTTTTGTTTTGACAGTTGAATATTCCACTCTGTTATATGTGATGCTCTAATGTTCTTCTGCCTGGATATTTGTCAAGTTTTATTTAGGGATTTGCTTGTAAAAAAGTGAGAATCCTTCAATCCCGCAAGGAAGTTTTAATGAAACCAAGGCAGTTTTGAGATTTTGTGCATAGAATCTGTCATAAGGATGTGTTAGGCATTCTGCAGGGAAACAAAGATAGCTTTTTTTCCTTGATACAGTTTGTTTATTGTGAGGCTACAAGACTTTCATTTGTTATCAACATTTTTATAGAGCACTTTCAGATATACTGTAGCTGGTCTGAACCACTATAACAACTCGCATATAGAAATGCAATCTTCCCAAAGCTCTCCGGAGTGTGAAGAAATGTCATACCTATCAGCATCACACCTACTCATTTGGAAGCTGGGGGAAGATTTATATACCCTGTTCCCCGCAGAATAAGACCAAGCCTGAAAATAAGCTCTAGTATGATTTTGCAGGATGCTCATAATATAAGCCCTACCCAAAAATAAGCCCCAGTTAAGTGACACCTCGCCTTCCACCACTGTGCAGCAACCAGAAGATGGCATGACTGCATTTGAATAAATGTAGATTATTGTACATAAAAAAAATAAAACATCCCCTGAAATAAGCCCTAATGCTTTTTTGGGAGCAAAAATTAATATAAGACCCAGTCTTATTTTCGGGAAAACATGGTCGTTGTACCTATCTGCTTTGGGTTTCTCAGCTCTGGGTCAGATCCAACAGGAAAAAAACTCAGTTGGGTTCTTTGTCCATTTCTGCTCTGTGGAAGTGACCGCCTATGAAATCTCTCATAACCAGAGCTTAAAAGTGATTAGATAAGAAAAGATACTTGTAACCAATTCTTTACTGCAATAACTAAGATATATTAACAAGGGATAACCTGGCCCTTTTGTGCTATAACTGTAACTTTTATAGTTACAGGGTCACTAAGTGGTTGAGGAGGTGTGTTGAGATGATAGTGAGATGGATGAGGGTTTTTTTAGCAATATGTTTTTCTGGGGTAACTACTGTAAAATCTAAAATCTTAGTTGCTTTAGAGAATTAAGAAAATATTTATTTTAAAATTGTAACTATAATTGGTAACAAACTGATTGAAGGGTCTTTCGAACTAAAAAGTTGAACTAATAACTTCTTAAACATAACTTCCAAGCTCTTGTATATAAAATTAGCTTTCTTTGAGCTTCATTGCTTCTTGACTTACTTTTCTTCTAGATAGGGTTTGTTACACTGATTCTGTTAATGTGGCTGGGATGGGATGATAGGCAAGCTCCACAAATCATTTTTACTTAGGCTTGATATGCAAGGCATCCTCTTTCTAGCAGCACAGTCAAGGAGCTCATCCACTATTCTCCTCCATAAGGAAAAGAATGGAAGGCACAAAGAGAAAGGGGAGACTTCATTTGAACACTTCCTCATAAGTCTTAACATCAAGACCAACTGTGGGATTAATATTCACAAAAGAGGGGGAAAACTTTTCGGTTTAAAGCAACAGGTTAGGGTTGAAAATGTACCCCAAAAGCAATGGAATTCAAATAATAGATAAACCATCCCTCCCTCAAAGTACAAGCACATTGATGTACCTTGATGTAGCTTAACTCTTAAATGATACAGCATAATCCCACTAGTTACCCCACTTCCTATATAGCACATCAAGTTGATTCTAACTTATGGTGACCTTTTTCTGTGTTTTTTAGGACTCAAGTTGATTCTAACTTATGGTGACCCTTTTCTGTGTTTTCTAGGATAGAATACTCAGAAGTGACTTACCATTTCCCTCTTCTAGGGATTTTCTGAGAATGTGTAGATTCTCCAAGGTCATGCAGGCTGGTTCTTCTCCTATAAGCCACAGTGGGACATTGACTTCCTTGCCACATTGATCCATAGCCAGGTTCTCAACTCACCAAACTAACTATCCAGCCAACATAGCATGTGATTAGTGGTGTGGAACAGAGGAAATGAAATCCAGGCTTTGATATGGTCAGCATCTGCAAACAGCAGATACACAATGGAGTCCTATCTCCAGCTATATAACCTTCATTTGGCTACTCCAAGTGATCTGTACTTGGGGAAGGAAATCTAATGACTAGTATCCTGTTTGAGTAACCAAGCATGAAAGAGCAATCATATGAGCTATGTGCCTTGTTTTTCAGGCTCTCTGTTGTCTGCTGGGTTGTGTCCTAGTTAAGCAGATAACACCAAACTGTGAATAATAGCTAATATTTCAGAAGAATAATGATTGAAGATGAATGTAACAGATTGGAGAACTGGGCCAAAACAAACAAAATGTGTTACAAAAGAGAAACATGTAGACTTCTGTATTTAGACAGGAAAAAAAATCAGATGTGCAATACCATAGGTGACACCTAGCTTGGCAGAAGCACAGGCGAAAAAGATTTAGAGGTCTTCCGTAAACCACAAGCTAAAACAAATCAACAGTGTGATCGTGTCAGCAAAAAATCTAGTGCAGTCTAGGCTGCAGTGGCAGAAATATAGTGTCTGAAGGAAGAAAGGGCACCATTCCATTTGGCTTTGCTCAAATGTCATGAAGTTTCATGTGCATTGAGTTCTGGGTACTACAGTTTAAGAAAGGTATCGAGAAGCTAGAATATGTTGAAACAGTGTGCACCCAAAGTCGTGTGAGGAGTGGTTGAAGGGAGAAGATCCAGAGATGGATTATCTGAGTGGCTGTTATGTGGTAGGTAAAGAACATTTGTTTTCTGCAGCTCTAGAGGTTAGAACCCTATCTAGTACCCTATCTTCATATTACAAGAAATGAAGTTTTTGTCTGTACATTAGGAAGAACATCCAGAAAATATGATCCGCTTGACAGTGGAATGGACTACCTCAGAAGATAGTGGATTCTCCTTCATTCAAGGTTTTGAAGTGGAAGCTGGATGGTCATCAGCAATGCTTTAGCTATGTGTTTCATGTTTCAGCACCGCGTTGACTCAACGACCCTTAGGTTCCCTTGCAATTCTACCATTCTGAGAAAACTATATCTGATACAGACCAGTTTTATTCTTAGAGACGCCTACATGCAGCTGAATGATATATAAAAAACACAGCCATATGGCAGGGACTTTTGTGCTAATTTCCTTGGTGACTTTGCCCTGAAAGAAAACCTCAACACACTTTGGCATCCTCCCCCACCCCCAACAAAGGTACTGAGAAATGTGTGACCTCTGCAAAATTGGAAAAGGGTCGCTCAATATTTTCACGTTATGGAGAAATAGATATTCTTCGGCTTTTCAGACTGCTTTCTCTTTTCTTCTTTGGAACAGCTACTGTTAGTATTCTGAGAGATTGTAATCATTTCTGCAGCAGCCACTGTGAAGTGATATTTCAGCAGTGCTCTTGCCAGCCTGAACAGATGGATGACACATGCCTTTCATTAAAATTTTGCTCATGATTCTACAGACCATACCCTTGAAGAGACTGAAATGCTTTCAGTAAGTTGAAATTGGTAATTAAAATTACAGTGTAATATGCTGCACTTCTATCCATTCTCCACCCACACACATCCAAACCTGGTCTACACAAACAATAGGTCATGCAATAAAATTTGTTCTGGTCTGCACCACTTTGGAGTGCAGATGAAGAACAGTATGACTGAATATTTCCCTAAGCAGAGAGGAAATGCAGAGGAAGACAGTTCTCCGGAGAACTGGGGCTTTTTTTATTTTCAGAGCAAGAGTGAAAATGCCATCTGTTGGAACATTGGGATAACTGATGGGCTTGTCTGCTCTAGCAGGTGAATGAGGTGGTAACAAGGCTTCCATGTTTCAATCCTGTGCAAGACAGAGTAGCCTAGAGGAAACTTGAGGAGGAGAAAAACAATAAAATAATAATCAGCAATCAATGGAAATAATCACAGGTATTTCTTTCCTTTGCTTTGATAGGGTTCCTAGTAGTTGCTAGTAGTTTAAATGGCAAGGCTGCATGTCTAACTAAAATTAACCAAAAGAAAAAAGTGACATTTCAGCTTCTTGAAGATCTTTTACAAATTGAACCTATGGCGTCAGAGGTAAGGGCCAGGAAGTTCAGTTCACCTTAATTCTAGGTAACTGGACATGAGGGTATAGTTGCATTGTCTCTATGTGTTTCTGAGATTAGATAGTGGTTTCATGTGTTTTTTTTTTTACAATGTCCGCTCCTTTTGAGTACAAATAATGGAAAACCATATATAATAGGACCCCCTTATCCACAGGATCAGCATCCACTGATTCACTTATCCACAGTCTGAAAATACTGTACTGTATTAAAAATATTAAAAGAAACCCTTAAAATGTATGTTTTGCCGCAACTGGACACTAGTGGGAGTCCCTGCCAGAGACCGTACTATGAATTCTTGTTCCCTTCTGGAATTTATTTTTGGTTCCAACACTTTTTCAACTCCCTTTCCTCCCCAATCCTGGAGGCTCAGCTATTTTGCCCACTGCAGGGATAGTTGGAGGGGTGTGGGGTTGGCCTGGGCCACCTCTCATGAAGGTGGCAGCCTCCAGCCCTGCTCTTTCCTCCCTGAACCTGGACATAGGGCACCCTTCTCTTGTGTATGCCTCCCTTCCCTTCCCTTCTGGCTCCCTTCCCTCATGGGAGATTACCTTCCCTTGCAGGCAGCTCATTGTCCTGCCCCACTTCTGCTTCTGGTCCATGCACTGGGACCTTCAGTCACAGTCGAGAAGTTGGGATCCCTCCTCCACTGCTGCCTTGGACTACCTCCAGGCCACAGCACCTTGCAAGAAAGCACAGCCAGAATGGGCAGCTACTGTCTGCAGTTTTCAGGATCCATAGGGGGCCTTGGAACCAATCCCCCACAGATATGAGGGTCCTACTGCAACCATCGGGGGCTGTCACACTAAGTGTCTGTATTTCCATATTCATCCGAATACCACTGCCTCTTAAGAAACATATAGAAAACATCTGAGGAACAATCTAGCAACAATAATCAACAATCACAACTTTCTCCTTGATCCAATTGCTTTTTGCATATACACGTGTGTGTGTGTGTGTGTGTGTGTGTGAGAGAGAGAGAGAGAGAGAGAATATATCAAATATGCAATGTCAGGAGGAAATGGTATGATGAACTTGTTTTGAGTACTTCCTTTGCAGAGATTTTGACATGAGTCATGCGTTTTGTTTCAGAAACACGTGAATGCTCTCATAGCTTGTGCTCAAAAAAAGAGAGACACAAATGATAACAAGAAAAATGGAAATGATGCTGTGGGTTCCCACTTAATGACACTAATGGAATTCATATAGGTTGTTTTTGACAATAACGCCTAAAAATGTCTAGGCTATGTAATAAGATTTTTTACAAAGATAATTCCTGTATATTATTACAATTCGATATACACAGCATAAAAGGGAAAAAAAGGATTAGGTGCGGAAAGGAATAAACAGGGACTGCCTGTTCAATCTGCATAAATTAGAAGCTGGAAGAGAGACCAGCCTTTCAATTTGTCAGCAGTAGAAGAAAATATGGAACAGCAGGACCTAAACTTAGTTTTTAGTCCCAACTAGAGGATGTTTGTGAAATTTGAGGATGACAGGAAATTGGGAGGGGAACATCAGTGGAATTTAAGTATTGGCTTACCATTTAGCAATTAGTTCAACTGTTCAACTATTCCCGCTGGGGATTACAATTGAATTTGTGCCCTGCTGTCCCTTAGTTCCCTCTACAGATGGAATGGCTGCTAATTAATGACAGTTCTAAGATGGAAGAAGTCAAAAGGCAGTTGGTCTCTTAGCTGAATAGGCTTTATTATCTTTCTCCCTTTATTATCTTCAGAAGACGATAAGCCAATAAGACTTGATACAACCTGAGGGGACAGAGTGAACTACATAGTACTGATGGCGGCATTTTCAATAATCAAAGAGTTCATCCTCCCATCTCATGGTTACCATGGCTTTCCAAGGATGAAAAGGCCTTGGAAGCATTGGGACAGGACAAGGAAATGTTTAATTTCTGAAAAATGGCCACCACCGCCAACATCTTCAACTTTATGCAGCATTAGTTAGACCAACAGAATTTCAGCTACTGAATTAGAAACTGCTGACGTCTAATTGCTTTATCAAAAACATACCCACTTCTAATCATATAATATTCCCTTTGGAGCAAGAAAACCATAACACTGCAGCCCGAGGAGCTCCTATTTGTTGTCCAGCTTGCTGCAACAAAAGTAGACAAAATCTGTTTTAAAACAAAGGGGCTTCTTTCTGATCACACAAGAGGTTGATGAATACTTCTTTGCCCAAACTCCAAAGAAGGCAACTGCTTCCACAATAGACCATTGCATCAACTATGGAAAAGAATAGGACTCTATCCACTGTATTGATTGGCATACATACCACATTTCAATCCAAAAGCTGATTTCATTTTTGTAAAATAACACATGCTTGGTACAAATTTGATAATATATATATGGAATAAATTGAGCTTTTAATTTGGTGGTTTTAAAATTACAGACTAACTCCAACCATTATTTTTATACTGTACCAAATATAGTGAAGTGCAAAGCTCTTTTTTTTAAAGTAATGAAAGTAACATGAATGGCATCAGCACCTGGAGTCCTAGGGCCACTGCCAGAGCCTTAGTGCAAAGGTCCGTTTGTAATGGACAGCTAGGTTTGTAAGCATCTGTTTTGATTTTACACAATGCCTAGAAGTGACACCACAAATCTCATGGCAAATTACAGTGGCCGTTTCCAGCCATTTTTAAAATTATGCTGTAACCATCATTGCCAGGCAATTCCAGAGCTTGGAAACTACTTGCTTTTACAACAGCTCCTAATATTTGATGGCCAGCACCAGTGGCTATGCTAGCAAAGAAATTAAGGAGATAGCTTTGTGAGTTAGATAGCTTGCTGCAGAGCCAGAAGGTGCAAATTTGATTCTCTGCTGAGTATCCCAGGAGAAGGGCCAGCTTATGTAACCTTGGGCATGCTGCACAGTCCCAGAATTCAACCAACAGAAGGAATAGAATACCGCTTCTGAGAAAACTATGTCTAGAAAACCCTGGAAAGGATTGCCTTAACTCTGTGTTGACTTGATGGCACATTATTATTAGTAATACAAAATGCAACTTTCTGAAATTCTATGGATAGTTCCCATAAACTGAAAGACAACACAACATTTCCTTCCTTCCTTCCTTCCTTCCTTCCTTCCTTCCTTCCTTCCTTCCTTCCTTCCTTCCTTCCTTCCTTCCTTTGATTACCCTTAGTTGACCAAACTGTAACATCTGATCCTCCTTCACCATATTTAGATTCATTTTATCCACCTTTTGAACATAGTGTAAATAAAAGCTGAGAGGAAGTACAGGTGGAAAAAGGAAATTTGTCTTATCTTGTATTCTATTCCTGAATATGCTCAGGAATCTAGATGGGGTAAGGGACAATGATGTTATACCAGACTAGAATATTATTTATGTCACTAACAGCCAAAGAGTCACAGGTAATGTACTATATTTGTTCTTCCTGAACTTTATATTTATTACAGAAACTCCCCATAATGAGGCAATTATTAATCATGACTCTCTGATTATAAAGTTGGGATATTTTTGATAATAGAAGAGTTGATAAAAATACCTGTTCATCCTGCGCATGCTAAATTTAGCCCGAAATCATCTACTTAGGAAAGAGCCCATGTGAAGAGGATATCATCTTTAGTTGAGCACATACGTTTTCTTCTGCTGAAGGAGTTATTTTCATCGAAATAACACAAAATACATTAGATAAGCCAATTCATTATGGTATTCTTCTTCTTCCAAGAAATCTATATTTGGAACTCATTATCTTACATGCCGTACTGAAGGGTTTTTTTTTCCTAACAAGGAAATTTATGAGTAATACTTCCCACTAACAAATCTTTTTATGCAGATTTCACATAGAATGACTTAAAAAGCTATTTCAAATAAAAATTTTCAGTTAGTAACTTTGTTTCACATAGTGGTTTTCAGTTCTCTTAAGATATAAAACACATATGTCCATACATGGATAATAATGAATATATTTTGCTCCTGGAAAACATATGTACCAACAAAGTATGAACATGTCTCAGAAAATGGCTTTGGGAGCTGAAGAGAAAATGTCTAAATAGCTAAGATTTACAATTCTATCCCCCCCCCAATTTTAGCTCATCCCTTTAGCCAAGTGGGCACATGTGTACTGTGGCCATTTTAAATGACAATTTTAAAAGACAGTTTTCATTTTGTTCTGAATGGTCCATTTTGGCAGGGTCAGCTGGAAGAGGAAGCTGAACATCTCACAGTTGCTAAGCAACCACAGGACACATTTACCAGACAACCTTTAGTTCAACAGCCATGTCAGGCAGCGATGAGAATGTTTGCAGGTTAGCAGAAGCAAGATTCCCCCTCACATACGTATACTGTGGATGACCGCTTGCACATCGCCGAAAAGGACTGAAGAAGAAATTGATTTGTATTCAAAACATACGCAGATTTGTATATAGAGATGCAAAATTAGAATTGATTTTCATAATTTAAAGAAAACTACAGTGAATTTGATGTGAGTGGAGAAAACGGTGACCACGTGGCCTATATGATTTCTGGGCCTGTTAGAAGAGTGAGTGTAAATCACCTGCTGAGGTGGTGTATCCCAAAACTCTATGGTGTACCCATAGGTGACGATGGAAAGAGCCCAGGCATCCGAGATGATGTGGGTCCATGCAGAAAGAAGGGAGCAGGCATACTGAACATGTGACGCAGAATCGAGCGATGGTAAGCGGGAGGGAGTCACAGAGTCTGTTGGATTTTTTTGTCAGACTTCCTATAGGAATGGTGGGGATGGTCGCATTGATTGGATTGTGGTATTGAGCCAACTGTTGAGGGAGATATCTTCATTGAGAAGTATAAGGTCAGTATACACTATAAGAGTACTGATGCATCAATGGGAATTTTTGAGTACTATAATAAGGCTGAAAGTTGTACGACCATGCTGTTTTCCTCATTATTTGAAGGCTGTCCAGGATGTTGTCAATCTAGGGATTGAATAACCTAGAGCCATCAAAGAGCAAGTCCCCTATTCCAAATCTGACATAATCAGAAATGTTGGCTGACCTAAGCCAATCGTGTCTTCGCAAGGTTACTCCGGTCATGAGTTGTTTGGAGGTGGCCTCGAAAATGTGACACGCTATCACACTCTCTTGCTGATTGAGGGACATGGCGTCTTAATGGAGAGCAAGCCCTTTCAGTTTAAGTTCTGCTGGGGCTGTCTGAAGAGAGGGTAGTGCACGGTTAGAGAGGTTGATATGGAAGGCGCCCATAGCCGCCATGTAGACGAGCTTTCTAACCTCCTCGCTGCTCGATGTGTTAGTAGATCTCAAGCATGATCTGTTATTCAGGTGCTGATGGTGAATGGGCATCTTCAAGGTTCTTGATCACCTTCTCAAGCTTCTTTAAATCAACCTAGAATGGATGACATTTCATATGGAGAACACCTTAAAAGGGTGGACTGACCTTCAAATGGAGTCTTGAGCATGTATGGGCAGCCAGTAGATCCTAGACTGGCTAAAGAGGTCAGGCCAAACAGAAGCAACACGAGAGGACACACCAGCCTGTTTACCTGAAAGCACAATAAAGAATGTTGATACTATAACAAAAGAACAAAATCGTCACTCACATAATTGATCTTTTAGTGCTGTTGTAAAGGATTTTGTGCATTGGTAGGGGAACTCACTAGACGGGCTTTGAGGCCCCTCCCAAACTTCCAGGTCAGTAACATGCAATTTTCTGATATTTTTAGGTCCACAGCTTGAGATCGGGGGTAGGCCCACATAATAGTACAAGGGGCAGATTTTCCAGCAACAATCTGAAGCAACTATTGACACCCTACACTGACACAATGGTGGGGCTGTATGCCCTGCTATAAACCCAGATGCCAGTTCTGTCTGCACATTTAACTTCTGCAGTATGATTACAGGACCCAACCATGGCACACACATCAAGGGCACTTTTACTTGTTCCTCTGCTAATGGAATCTATGACACCTTTTGCCACTCTGCGCTCTACATTGGACAAACAGGAAAATCTCTATGCAAAAGAATTAATGGGCATAAATCAGGCATCAGAAATCACAACATTCAAATCACTTCAATCTACTAGGACACTTTCACAACATATGGAAGTTTCTATTCTGGAAAAGAAAAACTACATAACAAGGATCCAGAGAGAAACACAGACGCTTATATTAAAATATTATATTAAAATATAGCAGCTAGTTTTCAAGTTGCTGCAATATATACGACCTTCCTATATATATATAATTTTATTTCATTTTGTGTTGGGTTTATTGTTGAATTGAAAAAATTGTATGTCTGTGACAGTGTAGAGACTCTGTGATTACTTTATAGGCTAATGTATGAAATTCAGCAGCAACAGCTGCCATACAGCATGCTAAATAACAAAAATGAGTCTTTCTGAGCATGCGGTAATGGCATGATGTGAAGATATGAGAATAAACCTCAGAGTCAAGGGGTGTCATGTTGTCAGCATGCTGTTCCCTGAGATTTCAGGCATATGGCCCGAGACCTGGTGACAGGATCTTAAACCTGAGTCTCCGGGCCAAAATCTGAGACTTGGCCACCTGGCTCTCAACTCTTATAATTGGATGAGTTTGCCTTCAACAATACGGTCTTGCTCTGTCTTGCAATTGTTTGTAAGTTTGGTCTCTGATGGGCTTCCATTTGAATGAACACCCATAAAAGCATAAATTGTACTTAAATGGTACCCAGAACAATTCCTTTCTCAAATATCTCAGAAGTCAAGGTATGATAACATGCCTGAACAAGGATATAAATCCTGACTTAGTTTCTGCTTGCATGGTAAATGGAACAGTTCTTTTTTCCCTTTTCAGTATGAGATGGTAGGATTTTATTTTAATTCTTACTTTTGGACCACAGAGGGAACATGCACATTTTTGAGACTGGTGGGGATTTGTGTGTGTGTAACCTTTATAGCCACAAGTACTGTATATAACTGATTTTTAAAAACTGAAGTATTTGCCTGCAACTTAAGTTTAGTCTTCATATATTCTTAACATTTGTACCTACCACTTCTTTTCTATAAGAATGCATCTGAGCCTCTTTCTGATGAGGATCATTCATGTGCATCTCTGCACAAAATGTCAAGTAGTTTGTTATAACTGTATCTTTGTTTCATGAACTAGATAAAGTAGACACAGTAGATGGATTGCTTGTATCTTTGTGACCAGTCAGCTATCCTTTAGGGTTTTATCTTGCTTCATGCATGTGTGTGCATGCTTAGCTTCAGAAAGGAAAAGACCCCACTAGTTTCATGAAGCAACATTTTGTACATTTGAGACAGCTACAATAAAAAAGTACCACTTGGCTTATCAGTCTTGTAATCTATGATAGGACTTGGAGATTCCTGTCCTTAATAAACAGCCTGAGTCCGAAAACACATGTGTTCTTTACCTCATTTTCTTACCAAGAAAGTATTCCACTTTGCTATATGTGATTCCAGAATTAGGAAACTGTTTTTTCTTTCAGCAATAGTCCTAATGACACAGACTGTTTTCTGCTTAATGTGTTTGGATAATTATACCTCTTTCCCCGCTTTAACAAGCACTCCTTTGAGATACAGATTCTTCCTCTTATCTATAGAGACCTTTGTGACCTACTGGAGACCCATTGTGAGATGGCTTGTCTCAGATAAATTCTTGTCATTGTCAAGATTCCCTAGCCTGATACACTTTGTAATATCACATAACCACTTCAATCTCTGTTTTGCTCTTAACTTCTTATTAACAACTGCACTGGATATGTAAGAAGTAATTCTTCCTTATTTGCTTGATTTGATTCTGCAAACCAACCTAAATTATATCTGGCACTTCCAAATTTAAACAGCTAGCGAGACCATGAGATGACATATTTTTTACATATCATGTTTATCATTATGTGGGACCTGACCAAGATTACTAAAACTCATTTACAATGATCTCATATTCATGACCCTGATGCTATTTTCTTGTTATAAGAAAAACAGCCTGCCACTTTGCTGCAAAGCGTAATTTCTTTCTTGTCAAATATATATTGATTTTTCCCATCTCAAAATATGATCTCCAAGATGTGGAAAGTCTCGTAGAATGATTTACCCTCCCACTGAGGTATCAGCAATCTAGAAAGATTATGTGTACTACTATGTATTTGTCTCTTGCAGTTTCTAGAGATACGTGATATGGGTACCTTAACATTAATGGTGTCATTTGGAAGGTTGTGGAAAGCATCCAAAGATTTTTAGAGTCTGTGAAGATCTTCATTTGGATTTTAGCTATGAACTGAACTTGGAAAAGGTAGTGTGTGTTTTTATGATACCTTTGAGATTCCTCCAGCCTTCTGGGAGATTCCGTCTAAAAAGTAACTTTTGTAAATGTTAGTTACATCAAGCAATGGAAGGCAGAGGACAAACGAGCCTGGAGGATTAGGCAGATGTAATGGAACAGAGGTCCCTAACCCCTAATCCGCGGCCTGATGCTGGTCCGTGGCCTGAGCCAAACTGGGTCACGAAGACAGACTTCCTGCCCCCCCACGTACTCACTCACTCCGCACAGCTGATTTGCGCATGCTGCACGCACCTGTGTGAGCATCACATGGCCATTGTTGTTGAAGAGTACATAGCATGGTCTCTGGGTCCCTCGGTTGACCAGTTCTGGTGATTCAGGTGAAAATACATATTCTTGGATTTTATTTTATTTTTTGACCATGTTAGTGTCACGTTTGCCCCTCATGGCCCCTGTTTGTCTTCCAAACACAGAGCACATGAAGGCAAACCAAACACCTTTTTCCACGCTGCCACCAGTTGATCACTAAATCAACACACTTTACTTAGGAAAGATGACGGTCCATTCAGTTTTCACTTTTTCTTAAAACAGGGTTATTGATTACAGGTGTTTCTTCCATAATTCAGAAGTATCTTCCTCAGGTTCATCAAACATCAATAACAATCTTCTATATTATTTGACAGGTTACTATTCACTTCTCAGACTAATCACACCTCAGATCTCCCAACTCTCTCTCTCTCTCTGAGTGCCCCCATTCTCCTCTCAGGCTCAACCTTTTAACATCTCTGGTGGCCCCACCTCTCAACCACATCAGCAGAGAACATGAATAATGCATAACCTATTCAGCATAATAAGGGTTAACACCACAGCTAGGTATAGTGCTCACGATTATCCAGAGTTTTCAGCATCTGCGAGGGGGCTTGTAACCATTCCCCTGCAGATACGGGGGTCCTAGTGTGCTTTCTGACTCAGAAACTTTACTTCTATAGTGTGTTATGCACACCCATACAAATCGGTTCCTTACCAAAATGCTGATATCAAGTCACTGCCAGCTGAACTCACACATCTACTCATACAAGTTGGAGAATACACTATAAGGAGCTGAAAATAACCAAAACCTCCCAATATAATAATAATATAGGCATATTCAGAGTTAATACCTCTGGAGTAAAGCATTAATGATGTGTCAAAAGATGATGCACATGATTGTGGAATTCACAGAATCATAAAATAATTGAATTGGAAGGAGTGTATAAGGCCATGGGGTCCAACCCCCTGCTCAATGATGTAATCCAAATCAAAGCAGATATGACACACGGTTGTCCAATTTTCTCTTGAATGCCTGCAATATGGGAGCACTCACCACCTGTCAAGGTAACTGGTTCCATTGTTGTACTGCTCTAACAATTAAGAGCTTTTTCTTTATATTCAGCCTAAATCCAGCTTCCTATAGTTTGAGCCTATGATTATGCATGCTGCACTCTGGGATGATCAAGAACAAATCATGCCTCTCCTCTGCATGACTGATTTTCAAATATTTGAAAAGTTTTATCACATCTCCCCTCTATCCCCTTTTCTCAAGGCTAAACATGTTCAGCTTCTTCAGTATTTCCTCATAGGGCTTCGTTTCCAGTCCCCTGATGATCCTCAGGGGAGTAGAAATCATCATCCTAGAACCAAACTCTTCAAAATGTTGAAAGAAACACCTTGTGTTGTGGGAGAAGAGTGATCAGAGTGAAAGTCTGAATTAGCCCCAGAATAGACCTGCAAAGGAAAAAACAGAGTGGGAGAGAAACGAAACAGAAGAGAAAGGGGAATTGGTGGGCATTCTAGAAGAGGAAAACAAGAATCATGACACCTGAGAGGAAGACTGGGTCCATGGGTGGACCTCCAGTGTTTAACCCTCCTGCTTTGCAGATTCTTTACCAGCAGAATTCACTATGCCACAATGATAGTTACATTTGCTACATTCATAGACATGTGAATCAATAGATGCTCAGAGGCAGCCACTTCCCTCAGGCAGCAGATTTTGCAGTACCAGTGTATTTTTGCAGTCTATCCAAGGCATGGATCCACATCAGTTTAATGTGCGGTCATCTCCAAATTATTGCCCATCTCCATTTCCTCAGTTGTGGCATGATTCATAAGTTGTTGGAGGTCTTTGGCAGAGTGGGCAACAACAGCTGCATCATCAGTGAAGAAAAAGTCCCGCATGCATTTATTTATTTAATGTATT